CTGTGAGGCATCCTCAAGCGCAAGGTGGGGGAGCGCAAAGTCTCTAACATCCACCAGCTCTGTGATGTCATCATGGAGGAGTGGAAGAGGATTCCAGTGGCATCCATGCCCAAGAGAGTTAAGGCAGTGCTGGAAAATAATGGTGGCCACACAAAATATTGACACTTTCAGCACAATTTGGACATTTTCGCTTCGGGGTGTACTCACTTTTGTTGCCAGCGGTTTAGACAGGAATGGCTGTGTGTTTAGTTATTTTGAGGGGACAGCAAATTTACACTGTGATACAAGCTGTACACTGGCTTCTTTACATTGTATCAAAGTGTCATATCTTCAGGTTTGTCACATGAAAAGATATAATAAAATATTTACAAAAATATATATTTTTTTATCAATATATTTATTATTTTTGCATGAACCATTAACAGAATCAGTTCAACATACATGTAGACATACTTTTCTAACCACCCTTCACCCCAATCCCACCCTCACTAGACAGAACACTTAAATGAACATTATTGTGAGGCATTGACCCGATGTATAGAATAAGAGGAGAAAAATAAATAAATAAACAATGACAGTGAAAATAAATAAGAGTAAAGCAAAGAAGAGTTACATTATCACATCAGCATTTTCAGTCAATGTAACATCCAAATTATTTATATATTCAATAAATTTGCCCCAAATCTTTTCAAACATTGATGACTTTTTTTTCTCAGATTAAACATTATTTTTTCAACAGGAACATGACGCAAGTTCCCTAAGCCATACAATATGACTTGGTGGTTCTACTGATTTCCATTGTATAGCTATGCATTTTTTTGCTGCTATCAAAGCCATCTTAACTAAGCGTAAATTCCTTTGATTTAGTTGGAGAACTGATTCATCCCCCAATAACATCAATCTTGGATCATGTGGAAGCTTGACATTAATAATTTTGTAAATAGTTTGTACAATATTTCTCCAATAGGGTTTTAGTTCCGAACACGTCCAAAACATATGTAGTAACGTACCCACCTCTGTTTTACATCTAGGGCAGCATTCTGAATATGAATCACTTATCTTATGTAATCTTTCAGGTGTATAATATACCCTATGTAAAATATTGAACTGTATTAATCTATGTCTACTATTAAATGAAAATGTTAAGGCACTTTTACAGATAAGTTCCCAAGTATCTTGTTCAAAAGTGCATTCCAGATCTTTTTCCCATTTAGGTCTTGAAGATGAAACGTCCTCCCCATACAAGTCAGTGAGATTGGTATACATATAAGACACAAAACCTCTTTTTTTTCTCTTATAATACTGTCTATTAGGAGTGAAGAGAGGGGCCTTAAATGACCTCCTTGTACTGTATTAATATAATGTCTCACCTGAAGATATTTAAAAAAATGTTTAGGGTGTACTCACTTTTGTGATATACTGTATATTATATTATTTTGCACAGTTGTAATTGTATAATATAAAAATAAATGTGCCATATAATGATCACTATGCGCTGTGGAATAACAAACACCCTGTAGGTAGCTTTTAAAAAGGGAGGGAGAAGCCGGAGCCGTCATCTTACAGCAAATCTACATTATTCCATTACAAACCTAAAATTAGCTACATGAAAAGCACTGGGACTGTTTGCAAACCCTAGAGCAGGGGTGTCAAACTGCAGTCCTGGGAGGCCAGAGCCCCATGTAGCTTAGTTCTTTCCCAGTTCCACTACAAATGATTCAGCTCAAGAGCTGTGTGGTAATTAGCACAAGGTGTTGAATCAGGTGTGTTAAATGAGGGGAAACCAAAAACTCTGCAGCGTTCTGGCCCCCCAGGACTGGAGTTTGACACCCCTACCCTAAAGCCTCTTTGCAAGGTAATAAAACTCAACATGTAAATGTGTGTGCAGACTTGTCTTTAATTGAAAATCTCATGCCAGCAAACTGACCAAAGTTGGCAACCCTGATGATTTAACCTGGCAACCTTCCGATTACACACACACGGTCTAGAGCAGGGGTGGGCAATCTTCACCGCAAAGGGCTGGTGTTTATGCAGGTTTTGGGGTAACCTTTAGGTCAGCTGTTCAAACCCAGGTGTGAGGACTCTTCAGACAATCAGTCCTCTAATTAGTGACCTAATTAGGGAGTTGCAGCGAAAACCTGCATACACACCGGCCCTTTGCGGATAAGATTGCCCACCCCTGCTCTAGAGGTCTTGTGGAAGCATGGAGCTCAAAGTGAGGCTGAGGAGGTAAAGTAGCAGGTATTTTGGGGCCAGACCTTGGGCCTTGCTCTCTACGGACAACTTGTACTCCACAATGACCTTTGCGTAGTTCATCTCTGAGGCGTTGCAGCGGTAGGTCCCAGCCATACTGGTATCCATAGCCTCGATGAGCAGCAGACACAGGCTGTCCGTGACGAGGCTTTCAACCTTCGTTCCATTGTGATACCAGATGTAAGTGGCATGGGTGGACAGCATGGGACAGCTCAAAAAGTGTGCCGTGTGCCGTTTAACTTTCTGAGGAATGCTGGGTACTGAAGACAACAGTAAAATTTAATCTTATTTATAAAGTGTTTTATACAGGCTGCGAGTAGCTCACAGTTGACTCGTTGGTGACCACATATCTACAGTTATACCTCATCGCTCCTCAGTGTAGTTTTTTAGATACTAGTTGGTCTACATGAATAGTTCTAAACATTCATTATCTTTGCACGTGTACCTTTTTTATACCCATCTAGTATGTTCCAGTTCTTGGTAATTATTTATTTGTTATACAGTAATAATACACTGTATTGATGTATCTACAGCCCATATGAACTGCACACACAAACTCTTCCATTGTCCTTACCGTATTCTCTTTGTGTGCATAGCTGAGGATTTCCATGTTTCACATCCTGTATCGCGGAGCTGTTTGTGGAAACAAAAAAGCCATAGAGGACTGTGTGATAAAGAGCCTATTCATGAATCCTCGTGCTGCAAATGTGTGATGGGCTGAGAGGATGCTGACCCTAAAAGTGTGGGAAGAAAGACATGGGGCATGGATATCAAAGCAGGATCAGAATGGGACCAAAGATGTGTTGGACAGTATAACAAAGCCACCTTATGGATCATTCACTCATTCATTCTCTCTCACTCTTGCCCCCCCCCCCCCCAAAGCTTATCCTGGGTTGGGTTGTGGGGGCAGCAGTCTAAGCAGTGATGCCCAGATCTCCCCAGATCTCCCCTTACCTCACCACCTCCTCTGGGGGTGATACCAAGGTTGTCCCAGGCCATTCGAGAGATTCTTTCTCCAGCATGTCCCGGGTCTGCCCCGGTGTCTCCTCCCAATTGGACATACCCGCAGCATCTCCCCAGGTCAACATTCAGGAGGCATCCGTAATAGATGCCCAAACCACCTCAACTGACTTCTTTCGATGCAGAAGAGCAGCGGCTGTACTTTGAGCCCCTCCCGAATGTCCGAGCTCCTCATCCTATCTCTAAGGCTGAGCCAGACACCCTGTGGAGGAAACTGATTTCTGCTACTTGTATCCACAATCTCATTCTTTCAGTCACCCACCCAAAGCTTATGACCATAGATGATAGTATGAACGTAGATTGACCGGTGAATCCATCACCTCTCTCTCCACCACTCACCTCTCTTCACCATCACAGAACCCTGCAGCCTCTGCATTACTGTTGACGTTGCACTGATCTTCTGTTCCCTTCTTCCCTCACTCGTGAATAACAGATACTTAAATTGAGCGTGTGATCCCTCTGTAGTTGGAACACATCCCCCGGTCCCCTTTCTTAAAGATTGGGACCACTACTCCAGTCTGCCAGTCCGTGGGCACTGACCCCAACCTCCACGCAATGTTGAAGAGGTGTGTCAGCCAAGACAACCCAACAACTTGAAGAGCTGGGAGAAACTCAGGAGCCTTACCACCAAAGTGTTTTGTTCTTTTTTTTTGACTACTTCCGTGACAACAGCCCTAGTGATGGGTAAGTCCTCTGAGGCTTCCAGCTCTACTTCCTTCAAGGAAGGCATTTCAGTGGGATTCAGGAGGTCCTTGAAATATTCCTTCCACTGCCTGACTATATTCCCATTTGAGGTCAACAGCGCTCCATCCCTACTCTAGACAGAATGGGTGAACCCCTTCTTGCCCCACCTGAGTCACCTGACTGCCAGAAACTTTTTGAGGTCGCCCAAAAGTAATTGTCTATGCCCTCACCAGACTCCTCTCACACCGTTGCTTCCGCAACGGCCAAAGCCACTTTCTGCTTGGCCTGCCAGTACGTTTCACCTGTTTTAGGAGTCCCACAAGTTAACAAAGCTCAGAAGGCCTCCTCCCTCAGCCTATCAACACCCCTTTACAGCTGGTGCCCACCGCCGGGTTTGGGGATTGCCACCAGGACGGGCACCAGCAACCTTTCAGCTCCGCACACCCGCCTCAGCATTGAAGTCCCAGAACATTGTCCATTCAGGCTCAATGTCTCCACCCTTGTTTGGGATGCAAGAGGAGTTCGGCCAAAGGTGCAAGTTGAAGACCCCTCAGACAGGGGCCTTGGCCAAACACTCCAAGCACAGTCTCACTATACATTTGGGTCTATCGGGTCTATCTGGCATTTTCGCCCATCGTCCAAATCACCACCAGGTGGTGATCAGCTGACAGCTCCTTTCTTCACCTGAATGTCCAAAGCATGTAGAGGCAGATTCATTGATAAGATTACAAAATGGGCCTCGAATGCTCTCTTGCCAGGCGTACTTATTAACACCCTTTCAGGTTTCACTGTCGTTACCCATTAAAGTAGAACAGTGGAACTGAAGCCCTTTAACCAAAAACTGAAAAATGAGTGGTGGTATCAGGGAAAGCCTTAAATTTTTATTCACTTATGCTGCACTATATTAAAATCTTTTTCCATTTCACACTCCATTTTTCCATAACTGCTCTTTCAGTGCAGCATCACAGTGATCACTCACTCTTTTTGCTGTTATTTCAAAAGTGAAATTTTAATCTTAGCTGCCAATGTATAGATAAACAAACTACAATCTAATTTCACTTGCATTGTTCTTACTAATGACTAGTGGTTCTCCTGCGAGGATGCTAGTGTGATGTCCTAAAAATATTTTAATTGTTAGTTTATTATGAGAGACTGGCTATAGTGTAACCTCAATTAAATGTAACGTCTTACCTTATGAGAACAGAATTTATTGCAAAGAGCCATTCTGTTGTAACATAAAACAAGAAGACAATGCCTCTTAACGCTGGACCTATGCCAGGAATAGAACTCCAAGGGCTCGGTGGTAATTTCTGGTGGATGTCCTAGGAATTATACTAGCATTCAAAACGTCTTTTTGACTGAAGTTCACTAAACCGAAGAAGCCTTTATGCAATCCGAACTGTGGCTTTTTTGTATTAAATTTCGAGGATAAACTGCATTCTGACAAGGTGTCACCTTCCTACTTTTTTTTTTGGTTACAATTCATATACAGTCATGTACCACATTTTTCAGTCAACAGATGACATTTATGACAATGATCTCATAAGATTATAATGGAGATGAAGCATCCCTGTCGCCTAGTGTCATCGTAGCTGTTGTAATTTTATAGTGCCATGCATTAGTCATGTGTTTCTGGTAATGTTGGTGTAAACAAATCTACTGTGCTGCCAGTTGTACAAAACGATTTGCAATTATGTACAGTACATAGTACTGAATAATAATTGTTAGTGTTTTGTATATTTACTATACTGTACTTTTTAATCGTTATTTAGGCTATCCCCTATAGCCTGGGTGTTCAGTAGGCTATATAATCTAGGTTTGTGTAAGTATACTCTGATGTACACACAACAACAAAATTGCCTAACAATGCATTTCTCAGAATGTATTGGTTTTGTTAAGTAATGCATGACTATATAATAGTTACTTAAGTCAGACTCACTTCTGAGTGTACTGTAACAGAGAATGCTCTGCATAGTGACTTTATGCCCTTGGGTTTCTCCATTAGGTTGGGTATGAGGTTAAACTGCATCCGCCCCTGTAAGTGGTCCTCCATCTTGCATAGAAAATTTTGGGGGCTGGTGGCAGGTTTGGTGCTCAAGCCACCGTAAGAACTTCACCCAGGACTCTTTTCAGCTCTCCATGGGAGTAGCTCTGCCGCAGCCACCCACAGGAAAGCTGCATACTTCATGAATGGGGTCATCCCCAGAGGTGTCGAAACTACCGGGGAGCCAATGAGACCAGGCCCACTGGGAATCGGAACCGGTGTGGCGCTGAAGCGTCACCCGCTGCACGGCAGCACTCTGGTCCCTATCAGGTAGCCGCGTCACTCTGGCACGATGCTATCAGGAACTTCGTAAACTCCACAGACCGGAGTGGCCAGATATCTCTAGGTGGGAACACCTACTTTTGGTCTGGTTTCTCTGATGGCTGCCCTACTCAGGGAGTAGCTGTTCCTGGGAAAGCTGTCATCCCAACTGACTGGAAAACTGGACTTCTTGTCCCTATCTAGAAAGTGAAATGTATGACTACTGGGAGGCAACTCTGCTCTCCATGCTGGGTAAGGTCCTTACTGGGGTCATCCTTAACAGCATCTGTGGTCACTTGCTCACCAACCAGTGACTGGAGCAGGCTGGTTTTACATTAAAAAAGTCTACCATTGACCACTTCCTGGCACTGCGGGTTTTCAGAGTTTATCAGAGTTTCTTTGCAGCCTTTGTCAATTTTTGTAAAACATTCAGCTCAGTTGGGATCATTGCCAGCCTGTACTCTGTTGCTGTTAGTGTTGTGCAGAGAGGAGATAGAACCTCTGCATTCTTCCCTGTCGATTCTGGGGTTTGTCAGGAGTGAGCAATACAGTACTTTGAAAAGCGTTTGAAATAGTTGTACTGTATTTTCAAGATTCTTTATTCTTTATTTTGAGAGTCAGTTAAATTCAGTAAATAGCAATGCTGTCTGTTTTATTACCTCATCCATATAATTACCATGTAATTGACACTTATATATTTATCTGCCTGAGACATAAAGAAAATGGGGAAAAAAAAAATCTGTTATAATGACCATGCTCTTATAGTGATCAATTTCACCCACACAGACATGATCACTATAAGCGTTTCCCACTGTATTACACTCATAATATGTAAGAAATGCCTTGCACCCAAAACTGCTACTTTTTATTTAAACTTTATCACTTTTAGCAGCATTGCTAAATCAGGTTTGTGGTGTTGCAGTTTCCAAAGCTGCTGCCACTCAGCGAAATACTTCAACTACACCTTACATTCCGTGGTCTTGCCTTTTTCTTTTGTGCATTTGAAGTATCTCCACACTGCTGACATGCCGGCAGGTCTCACGCACAACAGAAGCTCCTATCGCGTGACACACGCTGTTTTATGCGAGAACGTGACGCATCTGCTTACTGCATGTTTCAGGTTTTGTCAAACATTTCCGTGATGTTTAATGGATCGGATTACATTTTTTATTCCTCCCCAATATCCAGTCCTGTAATTTAGGCCAGAATCGGACCGATACAATACTGAAAACTGATACTGATCGGTTTGGCACATCTTTAGCTGGTACAAAATGCTGCGCCAGTGCAGTGCATACTCCCCAAACTGACCTTCCCTGATTTCTGCTGTCTCAAGCAGGCACAAGATGCCAAAACATGCAGTATTCCTACACTCACCCATGCCAAAAGAGAACCTTTGAGAAGACAGAACTGAATCCCTTTGCTGTTATGTGTGGTCATCTGAGGCAACACAACAAAGTCTTACCTCGATAATTTATAAGGACATACAAACAGCAATAAAGGCTTTTTAAGAGCCCCGATTTCATCTCATTCAAACTGGTACACAACTGTGAATGAATAATGCCCCTCCTGCCAATTTAATATTCTTTAGACCCTACTCCCTCAAGGTCCTTCCTAAAACTTCACCGCTTGTGTGAGAGGTTATGTGTAGACCTGAAGACTATGGGCTATACCTGGTGACTGGTGCACAGTGAGTTCCATTCCATCCGCAGTAGGGGTCCCGGGCCATAACACAGTCCTCACACCGTGGTCCATAGGCCTGGCAGCTGCGCAGGTCCAGCTCTACAACCTCACTGCTGCTGCTCACATAGAGCATCTTCTGCAAGGCCAACACCAATACTGTCAGGATGCTACTCATGACTGCTAAGGGTAAGAGTACGCCTCTGAAACTCTGTGAGTGAAACTGTGACATGCTGCTGGCTACAGAGATGCCCATGCTAACCTACCCCCCGTGAGTTTGGAATCCTCATTTCCTCCATTAGCGATATAGGAAAGTTATTCTTCACCATCACACTCCTTTTCTAGTAATATAATGTTATTAGGGTATTTTAAAGGTCAGCCTTTAAAAAGTAAATATTCCTGACCGATTATATGCAGTGTTTATTAATTAAATGTGTGGTTTAAAACACCCAATCAGTTACGCGGAATATGGTTGTTGTTCAGTGAGTGATCTGGTGAAATCCATCTTTGTGCCCCCACATTCGGAACGCGGACCTGTGGGGGGGGGGGGGGGGGGCGGTGGTGATGCGTCTCACCGTATGTGGCTGCAGCAGAACGTTGCGGATATGGCAGCAGTAGGCAAAGGGCCGCAGTTCAGCAATAACGAAGGTGTGGCCGTCCTGCTCCAGCACTTTGTGTACCCTGCCACTCCCTGAGTGCAGACAGTCACAGACTCTTGTTACCACACATCCTGCTTCTTCAATATAATATAAACACATGCTGTTTTACGGCTGGCAGGCCGCTTTTCAGCATTTTATAGCACTATTGATGAAAACAATATAGCCATAAATGCACTGTATTTTTACAATCCAAAGCTGTAAAATGAGAGTTTAATTATTCACCCAAAAAAAGCTCCTTACCGGAAAGTGAAGAACAAATAAGTAAAATGTTTAATTCTGGTGCGCCACTAGTTTTAATGGTTTTTTCCCCCCCTCTTAAAAACATTTCTATTTTGGAGTCCTCTGTAGACGGTAAGAGAGTCACTAGGGATGCTGAATCGCAGACATGGAGATGAGGGTGTGACACATGATTTCATAAACTGTCCTGAATGTTTTGCCAGCATTTCATTGGGAACAGGTGCCTGTATCCTGCATTAGTGATGTTAGCTTTGTCAATAAGTGGTACAATTAAGCTCTTACGTCCTTGTACTAATATTTTGTGAGCTTGCATGCTGTTATTTGTACTGTCATTGGTGCTGACTGCAATAAGATTCTCACCCAGCGTAAGCAGTATCACGTGGTAGGAGTCCCCCAGGCTGCTGTTCACTCTGTCCACTCGGATGTGTTTGTATTGATGATGATGACTGATGAAAATGGGGTCGCTGTTATTCACTGGCCTGACCCAGTCCTTCATCTCAGGATGGTCTTTTACCAATCGAAGCACATCCTGAGGAAGTTTTGTGCTGTCTTCAACGCACTGCCATCGACACAATGGATAAAAAATGCACTCGATTAGCATTTGGCAGTTTGACTACTCTTCCCCCAAACAGCAGTGAACCATTTAGGCTCCAAGCTCACCGTAACCTTGTACTCGTAACCGTAACCTTGTACTCGACGAGTGTTTAAGATAGAGAGATGGAACTCTGATACACGAATACGGCAAAAATGATCACTGGGGCCTGAACTGTAACATTTGGCTTACATCAGACAGTAAATTCTGGACATTTGCCTCTAACATGCACGGAAAAGGTAAAGCAAGTCAGGGTAATTCTACTTCAAACTCAAAAGTAGCCACAACAAAAGGAAAACAATGGAACAAAGTCAGAGTGTTATTTTACCGTTCCGGGCCGCGGGTGTGGAACCGTGCCCATGTATCCCTTGAATGGGGAATTTGTGAAGACGTAGTCAATGTCACCCATGGTGAAGACGCATACCGCTGTCATGCCCCTGTGAAGAGCAGCGCAGGTCAGCGGGCTCCAGTGAGTCAGTCCAGGGTTTTGGGTTAATACAGGATGACATCAGGGAACATCCCACAAAAGGCTTATTATTATAAAGTATGATGTATTTTTCGGCGAGGTAAATGCATTTTGTTTTGTATTTCATTAAATAGTAAGTCTTTCAAAGTGACTCTCTGTCAATACATCTCCTGGAATTATTCATTTAGAATAAATGTAACTGGTATCGCTTTTTTCTTCTGATTTGCAAAGTCCCTCATGACCTTGAAGAAACACCTTGAAGACCCATCTCTTGTAGGAACATCTCAGGTAACCATCACCAATTCAATCTCTTTGTTGATTGTTCTGTTACAATGGTTGCAGTCAGCAGTACTGAATGCTTACTTGTATTTTGCACGTTAAAATTCCTTTTCAGTCTTTAGTTCACAGATTAGGTTCTACCAGATTTTCTTGGCATTATTTGTATAATTTTTCTGACATTCTAAGCAGTAACCTTACAGGTCCTTTTTTCAACACTTTCTTGCACTCATTTCTGGTCACTCTTTGCAAGCTTAGACTACAACACTTCTACCTGTTGGTTCCTTGATGACTGCATGTTTATTACGGAATCTATGGGTGTAAGGCAGGGAACAACCCAGGACGAGACACCAACCCATCGCAGGGCACACTCACACACCATTCACACACTCACACCCAGAGGAAACCCCACGATGACACAGGGAGAACATGCAAAACCCACACACATGGGACCAGGGTGGAGATTCAAACCCTGGTCCCAGAGGTGTGAGGCAACAGTAATGTGCTGTGTTGCTGTTTTTCATTTTCACCCGGGGATGCATGGTGAGATACCTTACCAGCCATTGGAGAAGAGGGCATACACCATGCTGTCTTTCCAGATGTCCTGCTCTAGGACCGCGACATCCAGCAGCTGGTTAAAGTACAGCTTCTTCTCAGCGATGCCACAGGACAGCAGGGCGCTAAGGTGGGATGTCCAGCTCCTTTGTAAAAATGATTTGGGCCCGCCCAAATCTGCCTGACAGCACAAGGTGAGTCGTCATGTCTGGCAATATAGTTCTTGTGCTTGATGTAACCTCTCCAAGGCCGTTTATAAACTCAGTGGATCTAAACCAAGTCAGTATGTTATAGTTCACAGCCTTGCCCATTAATAAGGGCCATTTTCAACCTCATGTGTACAGCATCATTTACCTTCAGGATCCTGATTAATTCATTTTAGCCTCTAGCTTTCTATCCTATGGTGGGTAATCATGTGCCCTCAAGTCAATGTCCTCAAAAGCCACACAATCACTGCTACTGCACACTCATCATGGTCCTCCACTGATACCACGCACTCATCATGGTCCTCCACTGATACCGCACACTCATCATTTTCCTCCGCTGACACCGCGCACTCATTGTGGTCCTCCACTGATACTGCACACTCATCGTGGTCCTCCACTGATACTGCACACTAATCATGGTCCTCCTCATAGTGTTGCTTACCTGGCACACTTGGGTGACAAGGGACACCCACAGATCCGCCTCCCTGTGCTGGTCTGCATTCCTCTGGACCAGGAAGGCGTAGATCCGGTCCTGAATCTTGTTAGGTCTGGGGCTCGCAACTAGGGCCACATAATTCTGCTCTGAACAATGCAAAAAGAAATAAAAAGTTATGAAACCAGGCAACCTGCATCAGTCAACTTAGAAAAAAAGCTAGGGAACCACAAGGTACATATAGTTTTTTAATGAATTATGTCATTATCTCTCATTATCACTATCTTTGATGCTGGACTGAGTTAAAAACTCGGGCCTTGCTGATACCAGCACTTCCTTGGCTTCCTTGCATATCCTCTGACCTTCTCAGAACCTCCGCAACTTTATTATGGTTAAAACTTAAATATCCTTAACTCCTTAAATATAGTGAAGTCAAAATACAGTGTTTTTGTTCCATCTTGGTATTTTATATAATGCCTTTCACAACAGAGTCACCCCAAGGCGCTTGACAGGGGTTTTCTCTGAGCAGGACTGTGTAAGTCAAAAGTCGATATTGATAACTGGTTTACTGTTTCTGAAATTTACCAAATGACCTTTGTTGATTCAGAAATGAGCAGGAAAAAGACTGATGAACAGAGGAAGAGTGCAGCCCCCCAACTCACCCGTCACGTTGTCACTTGGCCAAATGCTGACTCGATGTCCATAATGCCTGCGGATGCCCACGTGGTTGCCCCCGTTGACCATGTTGGCAGTCGTGTACAGCTCCTCCCCTGCAGGTGGTATGAGGCAAAGGTGCTTTGGCCCCTCCAGCCCCATCTCAGGTATGTGTTAATAGCGCTCCATTCTCACTGACTTACCAACATAGAGAGACGGTGCACGCTCATGTACAGAAACCGGGGCCACTGCTTTTTCCGGGTGACATTCATCGCAAAAACCAGTCTCTCTGGACTGTGTAAGAGAAAACCCCAAGTTAACAGTCCGCCTATCATCGCTGAAATGGTTAAAAATAAAAGTTGCTTTTCCATACCGCACTGCAACACACTGGAGTAGTCCTATCGGTCCTACAGATGAAGAGTGCACTTCCATTCTTACACTCGTGAAGAAGAGTGATGTCATAGTCACACGAGCTCTGGAAATATCCAAACAAACACATTTGTGCTTTCATTTATCCTCTACTACCTGTAAGAAAAGGGTCCTGGGTAAAGTGTTTTCTGTTTATTAAACCAAAGCATTTTCATATAACCAGACAGTGTCCTCTAATTTGCAAAAATGTTAAGCGATGAAAGTCGGCTGTAATAAACTCACTATGTTTCTTGAACAAGAATTGGAGCAGTTGAACACCGGCATCTGCAAATATCCATAAAAGAGCACAATGTACTGTATGCTGTCACACAATATATTTATTTTGGTTAAGGAAACCTACCCCACACGCCACACAAGAACTAACTCAGTAATATATTTACTCAGTGTCCAGTGTTTTATTAGGCACTCATTTTGCCTCCAGAACCGCTGTGAGCACAGATGGCTTCTGCATTCCGAGTAGCTTTACTGCACACCACTGTTGTACTGCTCTTTTTTTTTGTGCATTTGTGGCCTTCCTGCTAGCCTTATCGAGTCCGGCCTGGCACTTTGGTGGTCTTCTCACACCACCAAAGTGTTTTCACCACAAACACACTGCCACTGGCTTTTGTTTTTTTTCTTTGTCGTCTGTAACAACATTCTTCTAAAGTCTAGACATTGCAATACGTGTGAGATTCCGTGTGGCTGTTTGTGAGATGCTGGAACCATCCTGTCGGGCACCAGCAATCATACCATGTTGTACATATTCAGTTACAGCCACATGATCCTCTGTTTGCAGGATCAAGCTGTGTGCATGAACAAGCAGGTTTACCTAATGCTATAGCTGCTGGGCGTATAACATACTTTTTTTCCAGTTACTACCGCAAGGTCTTTAACCAGGAACTCTGCTTGACCCTGCCATCTGATCGAACAAAAGTTTCTTCTAAAGAAATTAATTCAAATAACACATCAATGCTGCTTAGGGGTGGGGCACTTGGTTCTGGTGTATAGGGTAAAAAGGGTATCTGTAAGCAGTGAACAGGGGCATTTTCAAGACCAAGCCCATACTGTCCGCCTACCTCCTTGCCGTCATGTTCCCGGAAGTCCAAGTAGAACAGCCTGCCACCACCTCCAGCATACAGAGTGCGGTGTCTCGGGCCCTGAAGGAGCTCCACGCGGCTGTGCGTCCCCTGTAACGTGTGCTTCCTGACTGCACAGTCTGACAATACAAGAGAGCAGGTGTAATAATGAGATAAGCCAGCAATACCCTGCAAAGCATTACGCAGATGTATGGCTGTTTGACCAAGTTTCATGTAACGAAATAGCCCCCCCCTCTCCCACAGTCACCCCCACCCCCACATCCTGCAAACAGTAAGGGACAGTGCAATGTATTTGTGAGTTCTTCAAACAGCAATGGTGACAAGTACGCAGAATCTACCAGCCTTAGTAATTTTTAGTCCACTTGACACTATTAATCACACAATTATTTATAAAAGTTAATCTTATCCGCAAAGGGCCGGTGTGTATGCAGGTTTTGGGGTAACCTTTAGGTCAGCTGTTCAAACCCAGGTGTGAGGACTTTTCAACCAATCAGTCGTATAGTTAGTAATCTCATCAGGGAGTTGCAGCAAAAGGGTGGTTGGGTCTGAAAACGATTGCTCACCTGTGACCTAAAATTATATTTTTGGACTGCAGGAGGAAATCCGCTGAGCGAGAAGTGCATGCAAACATTCCACACAAATATTAACCATGCCAACATTTAGGTTTCAAAATACAGGAGATGTTTTTCGGTGCGGTGGAACAATTGAGACATTGTGTGTCTAGATTGTTAAACTGACAAATTGGGTGTCGTCAGACAAACAAAACTTGTGGATCCGTGGATGACGACTATAACGCCGCATTTTGTAATGATTCAACAAAATTTAACAAATATTCGTCACGTAATACGTTCAGTTACTGCATTGTGACACTTTGTAACTAAAGTAGTTCGTAACCTCATTGATCCGAACCAGTCATGACAAGTAACTTACGAGGAAGTCACATACGAGGATAACGCCTCTTGTGTCAGATGAAAAAAAATAATGAAAAATAGAATGTAAGTACGGAGCCCCTAAGGTGACAAAGGAGCAGAAAAAAAACGGCAGAAGGAAAAAAAAAAAAAAAGTCATGTTTTGCTTGATAACCCAAAACTTTTGCGATATTACCCAAAACTTTTGTGATATAACCCAAAACTTTTCCGTAGTAATGCAACAATAAAATCCGGTGACTAGCGCGTACTTTTGGTCATTCAAGTGCAACTACCAAAGCCGCTGTTTGCATGATGTGGTTGATCCTCGCTTATTAATCTAATTTAACGGTTAAAAAAGCTTTAGAGTTCAGTGTGGTAAGATTTGATTGTTTAATTCATAATTAGTAATTTGTAAAGCAAGCCTTGGTAAAGTACGTTTCAGTAACATTGCTAATTAATGCTAATCTGTTGAGGTTGATTTAAGCCTAAAGAATTGTTCGTTTTTTGTTGTTGTTTCATGTTTATAATAAATTAATTTAATTAATATAAATCAAATGCACATCCTCTTTTCTCACATGAAGTCCATTTATTCTGCATTTTGCATACATCCATCGATAACCATGAAGCTGCCCAGAGTGCAAAAACTGCTCGCAAATAAAGTTAATTACATCACCCAAATCGGAGTAGTTTTCCGTTGGAATAATCCCCTTTCACATAAAATCCTCTTAATCTGCCTCAGATTTATGTGAACATCATGCCTAGATCCGAGAGCAAACTGAATGTCCATATATTGTAGACCAAGATCAAAGTAAAATTCGATTAAACGCTCCATGTTTTCCTATCATGTTCCTTACACTGACTGATTACTCATATTTCCACTTCAAAGTCACAACAGTTTTGCCTTATGTCGCAAAAGTTTTGAGTTATAACGCAAAGGTTTTGGGTTATATCGCAGAATTTTTGGGTCATATCGCAAAAGTTTTGGGTTATAACGCAAAACATGACTTCTTCTTTTTTTTTCTTCTACCATTTTTTTTTTCTCCTCCTTTGTCCCCTTTGGGGCTCCGTACCTTAGTGGCTCCGTATGTAAGCGCTTGTTATATATTTTTTTTTCCATTTGATTTGAGCGCAAAATTGTAAAAGAAGTCGAAAGCAGAATTCATGTGTGCTGGACCCGACTAGTCAGCCTGGACCGGAAGGCGTGCCAAAAGCCAGTTGAGTGACAGCTTGTCCCTTTATCAAAAGCATTAGCTCAAAATTAAATGAAAAGTAATCCCGCAAAAACAAACGTATTACGGCAAAATTAAAATCCCACAAACCGGAAGCTAGACTGCCTGTATAACACTGGGTGCAACGGTTTCTCGGAGACACAATAAAACGGGAACATGGGCAGGTATGACGTTATTACATGGATACGAAATTAGATTTTTTATAAAAACAGCTACACTGAAAACCAGGAAAGAGCCACAGAACAGAATGTTTTAATGGAGATTAATTGCAGCATGCAACCAACAGTGCTTCTGTTAAAGATAAATAAAAAAGCAAAAATAAAAATAATAAAATCACAAAAAAAATCGTAACTTGGTTATTTGGAGTTAAATACTTGAAAGACATTTCTGACCCATAGTTTAACATCGAACTGGACATTTAGTTATGTGGGAAACATAACCAAATGTTAAAGTCTTTGTTCATTCAGCGATATCAAACAAAGCAAGCAATCAAGTAAACGGAAGCCTGTTGTTTCAGTCACAATGCATGAATTGCCAGTTATCGCAAGTAAAACTGTTAAACAAGTGTAGCGGGATCGCTTTCCCATAGTCACATCAGTCAATTGACAATGTAAACGAATGTTTTCCCTTTTTTCACTAGCATACTAACCGGAATAAAATTAACGGACTGTCAAACCCAAGCCAGCACGTGAACTCACAACAGGAGCCGTATTATTTTGTATTTTCAGAATTTATTGGCTGTAGTAACTGAATAACCAAGTTGTGTGTGTGTGACTTCAGAAACATACACGAATTTGTGAATTTGGGGTTTCCGTGTTTTTGTTTGATAGAGTAAATAAAGACATCTGTGAATGTCTGGCGAATATCGAATCCACTGCTAATCTTACGAAACACACATATTGTAAAATACACTTTCATTGCAGTTCAGTATCCCCATTCGCCGAGGTTTTCACGCATATTTTTTAGCGGTGTGGCGTTTATAACTAATATATATTAGTAACGCATTCTGTAAATTTACTAAGCGATTGGCGGAGTTCATTTTTTTCTGTAGCCCACATAAAAGTACAAGCCACTGTACTGACAATACAGTACAAACTGAAATACAATTTGCTTTAAATTCATATATAATTAATTTTGTTGCCATTGCAATAGTGGTAACACTAAAATGTAATAATGACCTTTATGATTTCTTACCTTTCTCCGTAATTATCACTCTGGGATGATGATGATGATGATGATGGTCATGCCCGTCAGCAACATCCAAATGAAAGGCGACTTCAAATATTAACCAGAAAGCAATAATCATACCGATACGATCTTCTGAAACACTTGAACTAGGCTAATGCTTTTTACATATAACGTTTTCTGCTTGATATATATTTTTAAATTTATATTCACCTAAAACGTTTTGTGAGAAAATTTCAACGGCATTGCAATATTGTGAAAACTTGACAATTAATTATATAGACAGACAGAAAGACCTGTATATACCATCCAGTTGGCAAACTAATATCGGAGGCCCTTAACTGCTGCAGTAGACGCCCATGAAACATTCGACACGCCTTTTTCTTTCTCTATACTCTATTCAGGGGCGCCGTAATGTAACACAGTTTAAAATTGCAATTTTATTGTAAATTATAAAATACAAAACCAGATATTAAAATGAATACATAATTAGACTTAATAATAATAAGTATGAATCTAAATAAAAAAAAATACTTATGTATCTATTTTCAATGTAGACTTGTTTCATTTATTGAATTACTTTTCCCAATAAGACAGTGGTTCCCAACCTTTTTTTGGTCTGTGACCCATTTTGACATCACAAATTTCTGGCGGCCCATAGACATTTTTTTTTTCTAGAATTAGTTTTTGATCATGTTTGTTATACCGTGTTGCAAATACAGAGTAGCCAGATTAGTGCACAAAGTCACATTTTATTTTCCCTGATCACAAGTACAGTTAGGCGACCTTGTCTTTACAAGGCTGAAGGTGATCGCGATCATTTTATTTGAACTCACTTATATTTAATTATTTATTGATATTTATGAACGTGAAAGAATACAGTTGTTTAAGACTGTATGTGGTGTTTTAATCATAATTTTTAAAAGAATAATAATTAGTTGAAAAATATTTTTATCAGTAATTTTTTCATCAATTACTAGACATTTCAGGGGACCCCATTTGAGTTCCAGGCGACCCCACGTGGGGTCGCGACCTCAAGGTTGAAAAACACTCCAATAAGAGTTAATAAATCTAAGTAGGAACTTTTTATTATTTCCCCTCGTTACTGGTGGTAACTTCTCTGTTTTTACGGTTGGCCTTTAGATGGCAGATTAGATGGTTTGATTAACGCAGCGGGCGTAGAGAAGCACCATTGCGTAAAGGACACACACATACAGCTGAGGACAAAATTATTAGCCCCCCTATGAAAATCTCATTGTTTTAAAAGTATTTCCCAAGTGCTGTTAAATAGAGCAGATAATATTTAACGTGGCTTTTTTTTTAGACATCTCAGTTTTATTTTGATGCTTACGTTATTTTACTTTTCACACAGAAATGAAAATATTCCACAGAAACCAAAACCTACCATGGTCAAAATTATTAGCCCTCCGGATATTAATAGCCAATTGTGTGTCTTTTTTGTTGGATAACAGCCTGCAGTAATTTGTTGTAGTTTTCAACAAATCTCTGACAGGTCATCTGAAGAATCACAGCTCATTCTTCTTTGGCAAATCTCGCAAGCTCCTCCAGATTTGATGGCCTTCTGGCATGGACCTTCTTCTTTAGTTCACCCCACAGATATTCTATTGGATTTATCTCAGGGCTTTGTGCAGGCCACTCCATTACGTTCATTTTGGTCTTCTGGAGATAGTTCTTCACCAGGAGAGACGTATGATTGGGATTGTTGTTGTTTTGGAAGACGAAGCGACAACCCAGACCAGTTTTGCTGCTGACTGCTTGAGGTTCTTTTAACATCTCCACATATATTTCTTTGTTCATAATTCCTTCCACCTTCACAAGGTTTCCAGTTCCTGATGCACTGAAGCCAGTGGCGGCTGGCCCATATGGAGGATTTGATGATGATTGTTACGCTCCGTGTCGGGCGAGCGGAGAATCAGGCGAGAGAGCCGTGAATACTATAACACGGGGGTTTATTCAGGGCAGACAGCAACGAACAGTAAACCTCACCAATGACAGATCTAGGGAAACTCACGCAGACACGGACTAAATACACAAGACAGGTTGAACTGAACAAGCAACAGGTGATTACAATCGGGGTAGTACACGTAGGTAATGAGGGGCATGGCACACACAAGGATCGTACGAGCCGGGCGTGACAATGATGATGATGATGATGATGAAAAAAACCCTTTATTGCTGTTGCAATATACCATGTCACTAGTCACAAGTACCAGCGAAAAAACTGGCCATCAACCTGACCATACATATACAAACATGACATTATAGGGGGTACACAGGTCAGGAAGACGGGGGATATAGGAAGAACAGAGAAAACATAATTACATGAGGAGAGAAGAGAAGAATAAAAAAACAGCCCCCAGGCTGTACTCCAGTAGGGAGTATAATGTAGGAACAGAAGAAAACACCTCAGCAACATAAGCACATAGTCACTACACCTTACAACATAAAAAGTCATGACTTGCAACAGGGGATGGAAATGGGGAGGTGGAGGTAGTCCAGCATAGACAAACAGCCATCCGGTCCTGCAGCCAAATCCAGCGCCGGTCGCCGATTTGGATGCTGGCTTAGGAGCAGAAGCAGTTCTAAAGGTATTGTTGCAAATATGATAATTAGCAAGCTGAGGGTAAGTCAGACAAACTCATGACCCAGCTCATCATACTCAGGAAGAGATACGAAGAAAAAACCGCTGAGCTGAAAATGGTTAAGAGAGAGCTGGAAATTATTATTAAATAATTATTATTATTTGCCATAATGCCCAGTCAGTTGTTTTTTCTCTATCTTACTTCACCATTGATGTTTCAACTTTCAAGTGTCAAATGAAAGTTATACCTTCAGATTGTTACATTCTTGCTAGGCTGATTTGCTCTTCTAAACCTGTTGGAATTATTTTTTCCTTTTTTTTGTTTGTTTTCTCCTTCAAAGGAACAATATTATCCTAATTACCTAATTTGATTTTAGACTATATCCACGTATGGCGATACGTTGTGAAGGATATTGTAAAAGCACTTTGATTTGGTTTGTATACACATCTGTCATTTCTTTTTTCTTTTGGAGTTTTGTTTCCACTGATATTGAATATTATATGAGTATTGTAATAATAAATATAATTTGGGAGAGAAATAATACTTTTTTGTATTATTTTCACATCAAACACATTTGGACCATGTTCTTAAACCCAATTATTGTCATTTTACTTTAGTCTTCATTTTAACTGACTGTCTAACTGACTGTCTATTTGGAAAGAATTTCACTTTTGTGTTTCCATTGGAGGTTTGGTCTTAAATTTAATTTCAAGTGGTATTAAAAAGGACTTAAATTGAACTTGTTTATACCATTACGTATACCCTTAAAAATGGTTTAGGTCTCACAGTAACTGATATATATCTCAGTCGTATTAACCTCATTGTCAAAAAATCATAAAGAAACCCGTCTTTAATTCATTAATTATTACACAGTCTGGCTTGGTGAATTTATCGTGAGCACTACCCTGTCCTTCGGCAAATGTCCTGCCAGCTTAGCCCCGCTTACGTGCCGGGCGCCCAACAGAAGAATACACTAGCACTTTCTAGACCATCAGTACGCACAGTGAAGGATTTTAAAAACCAAACGTAATGCATATTAGCATAATTTTAAATAATACTATATGGTAGACAGTCACTGAAATAGATGAACATCTGTGACTAACTCCGACATGTCTTTCATTATCGCCTGGTGAACACCTGGTTTGGGGGTCACGCTGTTTCCTGAACCCCCGGATGTGCCGTAAGCGACTGGAAAGTCTGAATTGCACAAAATACAATGCGCAAAACAAGGCGTGTCTCTAACTAGCTTCCAGTGTGCATACATTTTTAACGATATCATGGAAAAGATGCATAATATTGCACATTTACCAGTCGGCTTCTCCATCTGGCCTGTTTGTGAGATGGACGTCGGCGACACCACACAGGTGATTATACCGGGGGTGCATGGGGTGCAATTACGCCCCCTAGTGGCCAGCTGAAAATACTATTTGAACATAAGTTCTATAAAACTAAATTATATTGTAAAATTATATTTGAATGTGTGGTTTGTGTTAATCATATCCATGCGTAATAATAATTTATTGTAAATGTATTTACAATTTACATTTTTTATTTTTACATATGTACTTATCTGGATGAATCACTAGTTGAGCTCTCTCATCTTGCACTACCTGAGGGAAAAGCCTAGAGTCGCCTATGTGGCACCATTTAAGCTTGCGTTTCCAACTCATTCACAGCATGCATATTGGGTTTTCGTACAGGACTTAATACCGTCTTTAAATCTGATTGGCCGTTTGTCCTTAGACCTAATTATTTGTTAATGCTGCATAGTATGAACCTATAAGAACTTCACTTTATTCTTGCTTAGAGCCCATTTTATGTTGAGCTGTTTGTTCCTGCGGTTCTGGCTCCCCCTGCTGGTTCAATATTGCACCACTCAGCATTGCCCGTTGAAGGCGCCCCTTCTCCCGAAGAAGCTCCTGTTCCTCTGTTTTTTGGCTCTGTATTGTTTCTAAAACATTCTGTTGCAAAGGAAACAACAAGTTTAGGCACATTCTGAATTTTAAGCTAGAAAAAATAAGCAGCAAGACGCAAGGTCGTGTGGACCGAGATGCCCGGGTGAACCTAAAGTAGAACGCTACAGCTGGTGCTCGAGTTCAGGTGAGAGTTCTGCGCTTGTGGGTCATACCTTGATTAGTCTCGATTTTGTAGCCCGGTCCTGTAGCAATCGACTTTCTCTCCGCTTCCGTGCCGATGTGTCATTCACCAATCCCAGCTGCTCCCTTTCTCGGAACAGACTTTTCAGCTAGAAAGCAGATCCAGATCGCAATAAGGAGCAGCATGAGATCAAAGTGCTTTGTAGGACACATTGTATTGTTTTGTACAGGATCCTGAAAAAGGTGTAATTTTGCAAATGTCCTTGTGACACAATGGTCAAATCAGCAAATGACCCAGGACCGTTCATCTTCTACCTGCTTATCCTGGTCTGGGTCACAAGGATAACGTGATAGTTCATTATTAATTCATGCTGCTGTCGCAGTAGCCAAAGGCTGATGACATCATAAGGTCCTTCAATGTGTGACATCATTTAAATTAGATCTTTTTTGTTGCTATCCATTGTTAATGCTTAGGGGACACAGAGGCACCAGGTGGCTTGCGTGTCATATAGTTGTAAAGGCAGAGTTTCTGGAGTGAAATCACCAAATGTACTGTTCTCAGGTTCACAGTAGCCTTGTGGGTTTTGAGCCTGGAGCTGTTTGACTGTGAGTGAGTCTCTTTAACTGCTACGCCACCTGTTGTCTGTACCTGCTCAGTGACCAGCCTCATCTGGTTGTCATGGTCGACGTACTTCGGCCGGATCTCCCTCCTGATATCGGGGGATCCACTCCGTCCTCTGTCCTGTGAAGAGGAGAGGGTGCTGAGTGACATGGGTACCCCCCCCCCCAGGGCAGAAATTCTGACCTAACATACCTGTTGCAGTCCCCGCACTGCCAAGTCCCCCTCTGTCGGCAGATGCACAGTTCCTGTGTCGCTGTCTGTAACTATATACATTAACAATTTTGCTGAATCCATCTAGGTTCATTTTAAAACAGTGCAATGATTCTGTTATTTTTGTGTTTGCCTGCAATAATGCATCAAATTTACTTTTGCACTCCACCTTAGTAAGTGGCTCTGGGTGAGAGCAGCTGCTGACCGAAGGAAGGGCAGCATGCAGTAACTGCAGCCTGATTTTTATACATCCACTAGAGGGAGGTAGCAGTAGCTTTGCCACCTGCAGCTCACCTGATCCTGCGGAGCACCTGGTACATCCCACACTTCCAGCCCTCTGCATCTGCTCCTTCAGTTCTGCCACCTGCAGCACATAAAGTGTAAGTGAGAGCACTCAGCATCACTTTGGGAGTTAGAGCCACTGGACCTCTACTGGATTAATAAGAGCAAGGAGAGTGGAGATCACCCCATGTTTTGGGGTGGGGCGGTGGTACCTTTAACTCCAGGGAGGTGATCTGGTCCTGGGATTCTGCCTGCTCTGTATCTCTCAGTCTTTCCAAATTCCTCAAAGCTTGTTCCCTGTCAAGCAGATGCATTCACACCATTTCAAAACAACACTGAGCAAAGCTTCAATGTATATCGTCTTCTCCATATACTATAGACCTAAAGCTACACTAAACACTCGCTCGATTGTTGAAGGAAAGTTTCCTGCCTTCAGATTTCAGCCTGCAGGGTGTTAGTCACAAGTCAAGTCCCTAAGCAGCATAGTGAGTCCGTGACATGACAGTCTACAGAAGAGAGGAGGACGTGAAGGCTTCATACTTCTCCTCTAGCTTGTGCTCCTGCTCTGTCAGCTGCTGTTCCAATCTGTGCACCTCCCTACTTTTCTGGGACACCTGGAAGGAGACATGATGCTTACAGGGCCAAGAATGAGGCTCCTGGAACGTCTCTGTGCCACAGAGGTCGCCCACCTGCCCCCATGGTGACAGCAGCTCCCCCTGCTGCTCCTCCGCTTCCCCAACCTGCACCCGCGGCACGTTCTGTACTTCCTGTATTTCCTCCTTAACTTGGTTCAGCTCTCCATCCACCTCTTCCAGGGAGGTCTAGGAGGACATTGGCCGAGAGACACTGGGGTCACCAGACTACTACCATAAATACAGTCCTTATGCATCCACAATCATATACAAACGATAACATCACAAATGTCAAACTAATTTGAGCAGCCAAGATTCTGATAATGAGCAGAAAAACGGTGACTTGACTCCTCTGAGCATTTCCTGACATGCCATGGTGATTTGCGACGTTAAATGAAAACACTTCTTCTGACTCTCAGGCTACAAATTCAGTCCATGTGATTTCAGATGTTATTGACTAAGGAGAAACAAATCAGGATAGTTTGCCTTTAATTTGAGGACGAAAGATGAAATCTGAAGACTTACTTCCCTTAAGGTCTGGACTGGTTCCTGGAGGTTGGAGGGGGATTCTGGCATCCGTGTGGCAGTGGACCACTGCGCTTGCTCCATGGGAGGACTGGAAGAACTGGAAAAGACAGATAACATGAAAAACAGAGTTGCTACCCCTCCAGCGATTCCTACACATGGACACTATTCAAGGTAAATCACTGTCATGATGCCTGGGATGGACTCCAGACCCACAACCCTGATTAGGGAAAGTGGAAGTAGATGTGCCACCAAGCCTACATTGCCATCTCAGATGCCCACTAAACATCTTCAAACTCTGAGGGAGGAACCTGCTTAGATGTAAATCTCCATACCCTAGTGTATGGTTCACAGACCATCAAAAGCTCAAAAGCATCAGGCACTTACTCCGTCTCTGTTCCTTTCTCCTGCATCTGAACAGCTGCATCATCTGCAGACCAAAAAAAAAAAAAACTGAAGCTACGGAAACAGTGATATTTCCCAACCGGAGTTGACGTTTTAATGGCCATTGACTCATAAGCTGACTTATAACTTCCTTTTGTGTTGATGCAGAATCTGAACTAAACTAATTTTAATCCAGAGTAAAACATGGTCTTGGCTTTATTGCATCAATCACAAAGGCAAACTTACAGAAGTCCTACTAAGGCAATATGAATTAGTTTTTCCTTATGGTTTAAACACACAAAACATCTGTTGGCAATTCTAGCCATTATGTGAAATTGTCTGTTATTGAGGACTGAATATTAAACTGACATATATTTAGGCCCTAGTCATTCTGCAGTTTGGTAAAGCTGGCCTGTATACTACGATGTGTCCCAGCTATGTGAATTTAATATCTGGCAGCAATGAATTATACCAGAGTCTAAATAGCTGGATCTGCTGTCTCCCTATGGATCGAGAGCCCTGGCTTATGAGTCATATTCAAGGCTTCAAAGCGCAGCCCATCGGTCCACATTTCCTGGCCTGAGGTGACACAGCTTTCATTTCTGCCCCCCCCCCATGATCTCACCTTTCAGGTAAAGCTGAAATATCTCTTGATGCACAAACCAGTGGTTTTGATTATAAACATCTCCCACTTTCTGTCAAAAGCAAAGGCATTTGCTTTTCTTTCCTGCTCTCAACACCCGGGGTCTCCGCACGGCAGGCCAGGTCGGCAGGCCGGACGCAGAAACCCGCAGCCAGTGAGCACTCACTTTGGGGGGGGTATCTGTAACTCCTTCCCTCTGAGGTAGCTGGAGGAGAAGCTATGACGAATAAAGGCTCAATCAGAGGCCACACGAAGCCAGCACCTCCTGCAAAGGATGGCCCAGGTCTTCATTAGCTCAAACTATACACTATGCATCTCTGCACTATACATATACAGTTGTGTTCAAACTAATAGCAGTCCGACTTGACTAACCTGATCAATCACCGTTTTTGGTAGAAATTATATTTCTACATGGCAAATAATTTACTAGTAGGTGTAGTAGAGTAATGGAAAACCAACAGACCCAACAGTCATGACATGCATGCTGCTGATTATGTGTAACAGAATCATTCTTTGAACGGGGTGTGTTCAAAATAATAGCAGTGTGAAGTTCAATTAGTGAGGTCATTCATTCTGTGAAAAAGTAGTTGCCAATTATGAGCCTTTATTTAAGGAAGGAAGGTGGCAAATGTTGTACATGCTCATTATACAGTAGTGCATTTCTCTCTGAAATTCTGAGTCGTTCCAGACATTGTTCAGAAGAACAGCGTACCTTGATTAAAAGTTGATTGGAGAGGGGAAAACATATAAAGAAGTGCAGAAAATGATAGGCTGCTCAGCTAAAATGATCGCAAATGCTTTAAAATGGCAACCAAAACCTGAGAGACGTGGAAGAAAACGGAAAACTGCCATTTGAATGGATCAAAGAATAGCCAAGATGGCGAAGACTCAGCCAATGATCAGCTCCAGGAAGATCAAAGAAGGTCTAAAGTTACCTGTAAGTACCGTTACAATTAGAATACGCCTATGTGAAGCCAAGCTACTGGCAAGAAGCCCCCGCAAAATCCCATTGTTGAAAAAAATAAACGTGCTGAAGAGGTTTCAATTTGCCAAAGAACACATTGACTGGCCTAAAGTGAAACGCTGCAACATTTTGTGGACTGATGAAAGCAAGATTGTTCTTTTTGGGTCTAGGGGCCCCAGACAGTTTGTCAGATGACCCCCAAACACTGAATTCAAGCCACAGTACACTGTGAAGACAGTGAAGCATGGTGGCGCAAGCATCATGATATGGGGATGTTTCTCATACTACGGTGTCGGGCCTATTTATCGCAAACCAGGGATCATGGATCAGTTTGAATACCTCAAAATACTTGAAGAGGTCATGTTGCCTTATGCTGAAGAGGAAATGCCCTTGAAATGGGTGTTTCAACAAGATAATGACCCCAAACACACCAGTAAACGAGCAACATCTTGGTTCCAGACCAACAAGATTGACGTTATGAAGTGGCCAGCCCCAATCCCCGGACCTTTATCCAATAGAAAACTTGTGGGGTGACATCAAAAATGCTGTTTCTGAGGCACAACCAAGAAATGTAGTCCAATCATCGTGGGCTGGAATACCTGTTCACAGGTGCCAGAAGTTGGTCGACTCCGTACAACACAGATGTGCAGCATTTCTCAGAAACAGTGGTTATACAATTAAATATTAGTTCAATGATTCAAAGGAAAGCAAAATCTTAAAACATTTTTCAGTTCATACAGTGAATCTTTGAGTTTGTAAAGAAGAATGTGGACACTGCTATTTTTTTGAACAGCCTAATATTCCCTTTCCTTCACTTTCTGTAAAGGAGTAACACAAATGTGATGAATTTCTCTTCTTGTTTTGATTAGGAATAGAATTTGTAGTGCTCCCAATGCATTTGCTTGTATGGAAATAAAAACTATTATAAGGATTTTCAGCTTTATTCACTTTTTTAGACGCACTGCTATTATTCTGAGCACAACTGTACATCTCGATAGATAGTCTACATTGCAATGCAAAAAAGGACAATTTGATACACTTTGATTCAATATGATTTGATTCAAATACAACTAAATTCAATTCAGCTCTAACTGCATACGACTTAGATCAGTTGTTCTCAACCTTTTTTGCACCGCGACCCAATTTTTACCACGCCAGCTCAGTCACGACGCTGTATCAGGTATAGGTTTAATTAACACTATGATCAAGCACGCAGCGCACTCTGCAATTTACGCTAATCAATGCCTATTGCACAAATCTGACTGGACGTGCTGGTGAATTTTAAATTAAGCATCTGTGGTTTGGCTTCTTGGATTGGTTGAGCATATTCACTAGTTTCGCATTTGCAGACCCAAGACCCATTTATACAGGTTAATTGTAGGATTGGGGCTGGGAAATCTGATTGTGGATCAGCAAAGGAGCTTATTCCTTTTCCTTTTTTTTTCCCAAATCAAGTCACTATTTTTGCACTGCAAGAACCATCCAAAGCTCTGTGGTAACTGATGATGATAATAAGATCTTAACATGAAAAAGTATTACTGTTGTATGCAGTAATTGTGATATGACGGGTGAATCGATCTGAGACAGCTTTATCAGTTTTTGGCCAATTTCCTTCCGAATTCCAGCCACACTGGGAGTTTTGAATTGGATCCGATTTCTACTGGCACTGCGTCAGCTTCGTAGTTGGATGGCTGGCTTTGAACATGTGGAAGTCAGATGTAGATGGCAGACCACCCCCATTTTTGTCAGGGAAACACTGGCCGGACCTGACAATCCAGATACCTTATAATTACCTCCAATCTTTCACTTATGCTGATTGGTCGGAGAGATACAGTAGATGTCATTCTGTAGTCATTAGTACATATTTTACCTTTGAGCGATGCAGTTCTTATCTTTATAGTGAGAACTTACCCAGGTGTCTCACTCCCTGACCAGTCTCAGGAGAATCAGAATCACTCTCTCTAAAGGCAATCAAAGTCACAGTGATACAAACTTACTGCAGTCAAAATCCATGAAGAGGAATATATTGCATTATCTCATGAATTGTGTCATAACTTTCATCCGGACTGAGACTAAATCACAGTGTCAGCTCCATGCACAAGATTTAAATTCATCCAAAGGATAACAACATCTTGAATAGTGAGTGTTACTCCAGATGACATTTATACAAAACAATAGGTCTAGACCAAGGCTGTCAAATAAAGTCTTATAATCTCCCAAAACTTCTTTTCCATTTAAGTTTAATACTGCTGGGGTTGTAAACACTTGTGTGGGTGACACGATCACATTACTGCACACATCGCCCACTCACGATTTTGAATTTCTCTTCTGAAATAATGGCTGACATTTGGGTCTAGTTTCCATGCAGTTAATGGCCTGACAGCGCAGAAACATGAGAGGAATCTGAATGCAATTACTCTAGTATTATGAAAGATGTTATGAAACCAGGCCAGTGTAGGAATCTCCAGCTCCTGACTCACACTGGGTACCTCAGCAAAAATGCACCCGTCCGTCCCTCCAGTGGCCCCTGAAAGCAAGCAGAAGGAAAGAAAAAATCACTGCGCTGAGAGGTGCTCCTTTATGAAGGACATGGGTGATGTGAATCTACCACAAACATTTTGTCACTCGGTGGAATTGGGGGCAGGGAGGGGGTAGCATTAATAAGGGGTGACGTTAGACCTGAGAGGACATTACTCATACCTGCATGGAAATGATGGCGGCGGCTGAACAGGAAGTGACACTTCTAAGCATTTTACTGTTTCCTGTTTACTGCGGCACACGTGAGGCTTAATGCCGTTGCTTAATCATCCTCCCCACCCTCATCGCTCAGCAGGGAGTTAATTAGCCTGTAGATATTATTTAATCAGTCTCACTTTGTCTTTGTAATTGAAGTTAAGTGCCACACCACCGTAGAGTGAAGACCTGCGACTCCTTTGATTATCGTTATTGGATCACATTCTTGGCCTTTTTTTAAACCTGGCAGGCTGCTGACCGGTGATTGCTAAGGAATATTTTCATACAATATTGATGGATTAATAAATCAGTGTGTGTGTCTGTCTGGTGTAATCGTACACTCCTTTGCGCTGTGTAAGGGACTCTGGACTATCTGAGTGTGACTGAGAATTTGTGCTGGTTCCTTACGCAGGTTCCCATCAGTCTTTGCAAAAGGTTCCGGTTTCTGCTCCTTTCAAGCTCCAGCTGCCGTCTGCAGGCATCCAGCTCAAGCCTGCCCAGAGTGCCACCATCCCCCTGGTGGACACATGGGGAAACACACACAGGTAGCAGGCCAGTACAGCTACAGAAGATGTTAGCTCATGGCTGCTATTTGCATTCATCACAGCTGAAATGGTGCCTAAAACATCTATGAAGTACAAATTCCTATTCTGAGGGTCATAGAAGGACCTTTGTCACCTTACTTTGACCCTGTTGAGTTCTGCTTCTGCTTCTGCCTTCTGCCACGACAGGGTTTGAATCTCCTTCCTGTAAGCCGCACAAAAACAAAAATAGGCAGTCGTACTACGCAGGCCTGTCTTTGGAGAATTAAAATTCTGAAAAACCACTTTCATTTGCAGAAATAAGATAGTGGTGAAATCAAAAGAGTTTTGCAGCGTTCAGGATGCAGGTGCCTGTGCGTGTTAGGAACTCCGCAGCTTAAACGTTAGCCACTCACTGGTTACTCTCTGCCTCGCTCTGAAGTTTCTCCACCTCTGCAGTCAGTTGTGCCAGCTCCTTTTTCAGCTAAAACAGGACAGACAACAGCGTCCGTGTGGATTCCATGTGCCGAATGACAGCCGAGACCCAAGATGCCCAAAACCTGCTTGCAGCCCCTATCTCAGAATTTTTATTTACAAAACCTCATTCTTCAGGCAGACTGTTCAAACATCAAACCCTTCGCTCATCTCAACAAGGCTGACTGGCTATTTGACTTTGTCAAAACGTGACCGGGTCGTACCATGTCTGCAGGGTGATGGCAGTGGTGATGGTGCTCCTTGGTGCTCTCTAGCGCCTCCTGGGAGACCTGCAAGGTCTTAACAACCTCACTCCACCTCTCCTTCCAGTGTGACCCCACTCGACGCAGGTTCTCCAGCTCTTCTGCCATCTCTGCTTCAATCTGCTTATGCTCCTCCCCCTTCCTCTGGAGCTCCGCCTCCTTGTCCAGAATTCTGGCATCCATGCTTTGACACTGACTCAGCAGCTCCTTATTTTCTTGGTGAAGAGCATTGTAGGATTTTCTGTTTACAAAGTGACAACGCAGCATGTCTCAGGTCTCCTTCTCATGAAATATCTTCCCCTTATAGACTATAAATAAACCACAGTACCTGGAAAAAATCAGGAATTGTTACCTATAAAAAAGACAAAGTCTGGCCTTGTTTCTCTTTTAATGCAAAACAATGTGACTCATACAATGCCAGTTATGAGTCACTGTGCTCCCACAAATAATTATATAGCTAATGGGCTTTACAGAGGCTCTACAAAAAGTTCTGGCAGTGATCAGTCCCCTAGAAATCCCAAGGGCACTAACCTCCTCACTCATCCCAAAATGAAATGTATAAATCCTTGGTAATGCATGATCTCCTTGCCTAATCCGTCGTCTCTGCTTTGCTCTCATGCCAGGCGACATGATAAAACTTGACGCGATACAAAATGAAAAGTTAATGGAATTCAGATGCGCATACGACAGGGAGGTTACGCTGGGGACACGCTTTAGAAGTCTGGACGCACAGCCTGCAGCTGGAGAGGTGAGTGCAGGAGCACCAGCGCTGGCAGTGACGGCACAGCTGCGGCAGACGGCGTTGTTTACCTATCCCGCAATGACTCTGCAAACGGACCGGAGAAGCAGCCCTTGTCGTCTGCGCAATTGCAGCTGCAGAATTACCCAGACAGGACTCCATCAAAGACGTAAGTCATGATTAAATTAGTTCTTAGCCAAATCTGGAACAATGATGTTGGGAAAATGATGCGCTGTCCCATATTGCAAAATAAATTCATCATCATCATCATCATCATCATCATCATCATCATCATCATCATCGTCTTCTCTCTGCTTCTCCTGTTGAGAGTCTCAATGGCAGCCAGCCCAGCAGGCCAGTCTGGGCATCTTATTCCACAGCCCTCAGACTCCAGCTCATTTTTGATGATCCCTAGACATTAACAAGCCCTGAGATATAATCTCTCTGGCTGGTTCCAGGTCGGCTCTGGGGCCTCTGGCCAGTGGGACGAGCCCAGAAATGCTCTCTTTAAAGATGGCATCCTTATATATCCCTGAGCGCCCCCGCCCCCCCCCCCCCCCTCCAGGCGGATTCCTCTCGATCGCACCCTGTCATGGTGAGTGAACTCGGCAATGCTGCAGAGAAGCGGAGTTTGGGCTGGGAGCGTGTCCCTTCGGTCATTACCCACAGCAAAATAAATTGTCCAGCTTGGAAAATTATTTATAGTCAAGGGCAACATACTTATCCAAAACAAGGCTCCCCGTCAGGGCAATTCTACCAAATACACACACATTTTTTGTGTCACTGACATCTGCTGTACTAGTCAGACTGAAATAGTTTTTATGTTTTTTCCACACTTCTGGGTTTCTTTGGGTCTTACCACACATTTTCCCCAGACCACTACCTCTCAGACTCTGTGCATATTCCTAATAGTCTGGCATTTTCTGTTAACCCCAGCAAATAGATATCGCATAGCAGTTTATCTGTCCTTCTTCATCCCTCCTCCTCCTCGCAACACACTAAATCATTCCTCTGGGACCCACAGGTAGTCCAAGTTTTTGCTCCCTCCTATTTCCCTTCAGGGAGCGAAAATATGGACTGCCTGGCAGGCAGCTGGGAGGGAGCAAAAACATGGACTGTCTGGGGGTTCCCAAGGACCGGGTTGAGAAACACTGCACTAAGTGATCTAACCAGGGACCACCAAATAAAAATAGACCAGAGCTAGGGCCCCCCCACCAACAATGCACGATCACATTAGCAACTAAGAACTAAGTTCCAGGGGACTTTATATAATATTTTAATATCTCTTGGTGATGTATACAGGGGCGGAGCCATGGGGGCACTGGCCTCAGCTGGCCCCCCATAGTGCCCCCTCCCTGTCACTCATCGATTCAACACATATCATTGGCTAATTTCAATTTATGATCATCTACCACAGCTGTATGGGTTCCAGGGGAGCGTAGAGCCCCAGGCTGCACAGCCAGGCTCTGACCTGAGCTCCTCACACCTCCCTCTCAGCACTGTCACTTCCTGGCTCCCCTGCCGTGCAGCAGCCTGCAGTGCCCCCATCTGGCTGACCAGCTGCGATTGCTCCTTCTCCAGGGCTGCGATCCGATCTGTGTGGAAAGGCCTCTCGGCTTCCAGCTCCCGCAGCCTCGCTGACGCCACCTGCAGCCTCCGTCTCTCCTCTGCGAGCTCCACCATCAGGCCCTCCTTCAGCTTCCAGGTGAAACAAAGAAGATCATCCTTTCATTGCTGAGATGACCTAGTCTACAATTTTACTAGGTCATAGGACCATTTTCATTGGGTCCTAGAGGGTGTGGTTAAAAAAATTATTTTGATTTTAATTTCTGATGTTGGGCTTATTTTTAAAGGGCCGCCTTTCTGATGAAGGCACTGTGCTACTGTTACTGCACTGTAACTGTGCTACTGTTACCTCACTGTCACCGTGCTACTGTTACCGCACTGTTACTGCACTGTCACCGTGCTACTGTTACTGCACTGTTACTGCACTGTCACCGTGCTACTGTTACTGCACTGTTACTGTGCTACTGTTACCTCACTGTTACTGCACTGTCACCGTGCTACTGTTACTGCACTGTTACTGCACTGTTACCGTGCTACTGTTACCGTTCTACTTACTATTATTTGTTAAATAAATGACAATGACTAAGGGTCCCAAGTCCGAAACAGTAGAGAACTGCTGACTTAATGAATATTTAACTCACAGTTACATATTGATTTTCTAGGTATAATCTGGTTCTTCTATGGGATTAACTTTAACATGATGGTCCCACGGCTGTGGTGGGCATGATGTCTTCCTGTTTGTGCCACATCAGCTGGAGCTGCTGGCTGTGGGCACTCCTGGCCCACCTGCTCCTCCCTCCGCAGCTCCTCCTGCATCCGCGCCGCCTCCTCCTCCTTGCGCTTGGCCTGGGCCCTTGCGTCCTCCAGCTCCCCGTGGAGCTCACCAAGCTGGTCACTGAATCCCTCCCTGCTCTTCTGGACACTGTCCAGCTGCAGCTCCAGGCTCTGCGCCCGCCAGTGGAGTTCAGCCTTCTCCTGCATCGATGTAGCAGCGTTGTGTCGCATGAAAGTGCACGCTGTGCAGCAGCATTAGTGCACGTCCGTCTCATGGACTGGGCTTTGCTGTTGTGCCTATGAATAATTCCTGCATCCTGAAATTGCTTCACAAACATGTCTTACTGCATAAATGTCTATAAACTAGGGCATAGGAGTTTGACATTGGGGGTGGGACACAACTTAATATCTCGAATGTAAAGGTCTATTTTTTGGGTGGGACGAATGAAGCCAAAATAAATACTGGGGGGTACCCGTCCCCCGCCCCATTTCTCCTGGTTCCTACACCCTGGGCTATTAAATACAATTGTACTGCAATACACTTCAAATTTTTATGGTAAGTAAGTTAAGGACATGTAGTAAATGTTACAGTAGTTTAGGCTAGTTCCAGCCAGCACGGCTGTGGGGGGAGAAGCCCTGAATGTTTGAGGGGCTCAGATGTGGACGGGAGCTTTGGAGCATGCCAGTAGTCTTGGGGTCGGGTTCCAACTTAATGTTTCGTCAAGGGGCCCCGGATAAAATGATACAAATTAAAACTGCACCTGTAGGAGGTGATCCTTGTCAGCCAAGGCCTCTGATAGCTTGACCTTATGGTCCTCCACAGTGTCCTCCAGCCTGACCACCTTGGATGACAGCAGGTCTCTCTCCTGGAGGAGGGAGTTAAAACAGCAGAGAATGTGGTGTAGTGTGCACTGAGAGCTGAAGGTCAAAGGTTATGGCTCCCTGAGGTCTCCACTCACCAGACCGGCCTGGGCCAGCTGACCACGGGCCTCACTCAGCTGGTCCTGGAGCTTGGTCTGCGCCTGGTCGAAATCGCTTAGCCTCCGGTTCAAGCCCTCCATCTCAGTCAGAGCTGCCAGTCGGCTCTGCGTGGGACAGCATGCATGTGGTTTTGCTCAGAAAACCTGCATCAAACAGGCCATAAATGTAGATCATGTAATTCATTCAGATCTGGTTTGTCTTCTTAGATTGTTGGTGCTGATGGTTAAGGAAATGGGTTTGTGCTCAGCAGTAATGAATCTATGTAACTCAGGCACGTAGTCAGGTAATAGAAATATGAATCTGAATCACCCTCAAAATTTGCTTTCCAGGAATGGTGACCCCCCCCCCCCCCACAATGATGGAGGTGGAACCCTCATCTGGTTGGCAAAATATACTGAGGATTGCTGGACCCCCCCCCCAACAAAATTTATTTATGGGTATGGACCTGCCGTTACTTGCATATTGGTGGCTCACTTAAAATTACCCCCCAAGTTCGATTTCTAGTTTTTAAGGGGATCTCGTTAGAATGACTTCTGCCGCTGTATCTTCCAAACAGAAACATCACTTCAGTTGGCCGCAAATACCTTGGCCTGCATTGTTTGACCCCACACTGTTAAACATCTTGTGCTCTCACCGGCAAAGCTGTGCAAGCACGACATGAAGAACACGATGCTGGCAGAGACGATGGCATGACTTATGTCTTTCTGGAACGTTTATGCGAACTCCTGTCCCAGTTACAGCTCAATTGAGTGTTTTGCTTTGAAATTACAAGGTGGCACCAGTGTTACTCGTCTGCTGATTTATCCAAGGAGATTTTGGGTGTTTTCTGATTAGGAGGAAAATTTCACAACACTGGCCTTAAATGCCTTGAATTTTTTTCAAATATCTAATAGTCCAATTTGGTCAGTCGGGAATCTAGCTTAGTGGCCAAGGTCACTCAGGACCCTGGATTCCCCATCAACACTAATAAAGATGTCTTTACTGTAAAGCCATTTGCAGGGTGTATAGACAGCGCCTAATCCCACAGTGTCCATTTGATTATATGTGTACTATTCAGGATGACAAATGTTGTTCTTAACCTCCCGTGACGCTTGTAATAATTCAGCGTTCATTTGACTGTCGGTGACGTGATTTGTCCAAGCCACACTTCATCTTGTGTTTTTGGCCACACTCCACTGCTCCTTCACTGTTCTGGAACTGCAAAGGGGGTACTAACCCTGTATTTATGGGATAACTGCAACAGGAAACCATGTTCTGGTCTGTTCAGACCGCAGTGAGACACTGACCTCCTCAGACAGGCGGACCTGCCGGAGGGCTGTCTCCCGTTCTTCCTCCAAAGCTGCCACTCTCCCCTGAATCTTTCTCAGGGTCGATCTCCCCTCCTTAAGCTCTTTCTCGGCCTGCTGCTGCTTTCCCTGTGAATGAAACCGGAGACAGTCTGGTTTCACCAAGGCGCAGTGTGGTTACTGTACATGCTGGAAGAGGTGTTGGTGTGGCCAACAGCTTAGCCCATCCAGTGGTCTGTGTGGATCCCAGTGCCCCAATGCAGTGATGGGGACACTGTGCTGTAAAAATAGTGCCGTCCTTTGGATGAGACGTAAATCTCATCCAAAGGATGAATCTCCTGAATCTCTGAGGTCATAAAAGATCCCTGGTCATCTTTCTAAAGAGTAAGAGTGGTACCCTGATGTTCTGGCTAAAATTGCCCACTGTGGCCCTATCAGATCTGGCCTCCTAATCACCCCGTATATCTAACTGGTGAATTCCCTACTAACCCTTCACCACCTTAGCTACTGTGTGGTGAGCGTACTGGTGCAAAATGGCTGCCGTCGCATCAACCAGGTGGGGGCTACACAATGGTGGTGGCTGAAGTGGCTCCCTATTGGTTCTGTAAAGTGCTTTAACACTGAAGGTTTAATATCAGATAAATGCCAGAAGAAAAATGATGAAGTTCTTGTTGTTCCTAAACACTGACCCAGTCCTATTAGGGCAAAAGCCTGACTTGAAAGGATAATGTACAGTTAGTCTGATGATTTGTCACTCATACGTAGATGTCTTCCTGCATTGTGGGCACAGATCGGCTGAGGAGGACAGTCTTCTCCCTCTCCAGAGTCAACCTCATCTTCATCATATCTAGCTCCAGTTGCTGGACCCTTTAGTGCATGACCCGTCCAAAGACAGAAAGAGACAGAGATAAACTTCTCGTTACTACCACACACACGACATACGTGACGACATTTATCGGAACATGCTATGGCAACATATGAATATTTATGTGGTCAGTGAAACTAAAATCACATGCCCTTAAAAATCAGATTACGCCGTTCAAGCTTTATATTCAGTTGAATGATGTCGGCTATGTCAATTCAGCCCTGATTATGTGCAACAATGATGGGAAGCTCACTTCTCCTGAAGATCTTTACGTCGAGGGCTGTCCTCGGCGTGACTCAGCTTTGCCGTGTCCTTCTCGTGCTCCAGGGCACTCAGTGCCTCCGCCAGCTTCTGTGACAGGGGCAGATGAATGTCAGTGTGCTACGGGTGACATGCTGGCTCGGTAATTAGCATGTTAGCCTCATGCTAGCATGCCAGTGTGTGTGGAGTTTCCGTGTTTCTGCCGTGTTTGCATGGGTTTCCTTATGCAATCTCCCGCTGACATGCAGTATTTGGGAACTGGTATCTCTGGGTTCCCACAGCATGTGAGTCTGTTTGCCCTGTTTTGGACTGGAATCACATCCAGGTTGTTTGCTGCATTGCCTGACATTGACTTCCGGTTCTGTGACCCTGTACCATGTAAGTGCTGTGGAAGATGGATGGATGTCTATATGCTTTGACAGCTCCACATGTTGGTGCTATGTTTGTAGAGATGTAAACAGTAAAAGTGCATGGCTGCTGCCTGATGAATCCTCAAGCACAGGCTTGTGGGAGTTTTACTTACACAAAAATGTTCTGGGGGCAGAAGGAAAAATGATTGGTTCTGAGAGAAAACCAGTCAGATTGTAGAAGAAGTGCGACCAAGACATCTGATTGGTTGATCCCGCCTCCTCTAGTTACTTGGACCATCTGATTGGTTATCTCTCTGAACCAATGATTTTTCTTTCTGCTCTCAGGACATTTTTGTGTATTTAAGACTCCCATGAGCCAAGCACAGGCTGAGGGAGGCGATGCCAGTCACCTTGTGCCTGAGTTCCAGCAGCTGTGTGCTGGTCTGGCAGTGTTGCAGCTGCACTTCCCTGTGCCCTAGCAGCCCCGTTTGGTTGTCTAGACGCCCGTGAGTCCCACACAGCCTCTGCCCCGGCATCTCCCTCCGAATCCCACTCTTATCCAGCGGGGACCACAGGTCTGCCCTCGGAGAGGGGCATAGGGTCCGCGCGGCGCCCTCTGGTGTCAGGCGGGACAGGGACTGCCAGCATTTCAGGCCTGTGGAGACGTCAGGACTTGCCACACACTCCCTGTATGGAGAGCTGAAACACATCGCATTGATGACACACTAAATTTACTGTATATATTCAGGAAAAAACAACTTGAACTTAGGATCTTAGTGCACGACCTACTCGGTTGGCGATGGGGGTCATGTAACTCTCTCAACCGGACTATTGACCTGAGGCAGAGTGATCACTAGCTAATTTCCTGATGTTCATGCTCGCTGAGCGTACTGACCTATGTGAGCAGCAGTTACCTGAGTAGACTGAGCAATGGCTGATGGACCACTGACCTGCTGCTGCGGGTGGAGAAGATCCCAGACCCTGAATGAGCTCCATCTACGCTCCATGCTGAGGACTGACAGAACATGACCACCAGTTAGCACTATGAGCAGGTTAAGGCGCACCAAAGATAACCAGCCTGATAATTAATCACAGTATGTCGTATTTTGGTTGAGTTTCCTCACTGCGCTGTGTATTCTGTTCTCTATTTCCTGCCCTGGTGCTCTTGTCTCACCTGAGCTTTGATATGCGAGCTCATCTCCCACATATCTGGGTGGGTTGGGGACAGCAGACTGGGGACCCTCCCAGGCTGGTCGTACCCCCCCAGGGGCCGTCCCAGTTCACTTGTCCAGCCATTTCCACTGTGCTCCCCATGTGGGGGCAGCTGGGCCATGTGTGGGCCGAGATGACAGTGCTCTTGGTACTGTGGGAGGGGGATAGGTGTGCCAGCCTGGAACAAAGACACCCATTCGTCATAGGGACACCCTCACTCCCACACTGGTCTGCAGAATGTTCCGGAGGGGCATGGCTTGCTCCCTGCCTGCTCAAAATGTTTCTCTCACTGCTATGAGGACTGTCACACCACGCCCAGGAGAAGATAAATTTCCACTCAGTTGTTCCATCGCATGCTAAACTGGCTGAAGTTAATCCCACCACTTGATATGCCGTCTTATCAATTGGTGTCTAAGACCCTCCGAAATTAAATGCTGTGATATCAAGCAAGGGAAACAGTGATATGTCAGAGGAGGAGCCCGTGTAGGAGAGGCTATGAGAAGTACCACTTGGTGCTTGCTGTAGCTGCAACAAGCACGGCAAAATTAACTCCACTGGTATGTATCTCTGGAATGGCTGTGATAACAGTAACAAAATCAAAGGTTCTGCCTGAGAACAGAGACCTGCTAGGTGCATAGCTAAGAGTACAGCCTTTTTGAGGCACGATTCGCACCAAATGACCCCTTGGTTTCAGGGTACAATGAACAATTAGTGAACAATTCTGAAAATACCAACAGGTGTGCATTAAGCTCAAAGTTAGTAAATGAATTTATCATGAGTGTAAAGTCTTCTCCGTACCTTATTAGTGTGTCTTTTCCCGTCTCGTTGCAGGTGACCAGAGAAACGACGCTCTCTGCACACTCCACTACGCTGCTCTGATTTAGAAAGAAGCTATTGAGAGTGCAGCCAGGCAGCTGGTGTCCATGGCAACCAGCATAAACAAGACCTAGGAGCATGGTGGGTAATGGTAATCGCTCTGTCGGCTTACCGCCGGAACAGCAGATCAACAGGAACCCCACACAGGGCAGCCAATCTGTGCTGAAAATCCCAGGTCTGTCTCCTGTCCACGAACCCCCGTTGCTGCAGTAGGTGTGTAAACACTGTGGCACACAGCTGAATCCATTATCTGTGTCATTAGGTGGTCACATTATCCATGTCATTAGGTGGTCACTTTTGCTTCATTACCCTCACTGCGATTACAACTCGTGTTATTTTTAACCATTCTATTTTCAATCTGTTCTGATCAATGACACACTTTACACATGCATGCCCCCTATTGCTGTTCCCCTCCCCAGATTTGAGCTTTATAGTAACTCTGCCACTTACCAGCACTCCGCCACTTTGTCACTTTTTATACTGTATGCTCATTATTTATCTATGGTTTTTATTTATTTATAATTTATTCCAACATGCCACTAATGTACTTTTCTGCTTCCGTTATTGCCCATTCTAAACAGTGCATCACTGTTTACTTCTATATTGTGCGTCAGTGTTTTTAATGTTTTTACCTCTCTGTTTTTGTCCTGTCTGTCTATGCACTATGCAATAAGTCAGCTCGTGAAATGTTCTATGGTAAATTGTAAGTGGTATTATTGCAAAGTGGAAGCATTTAGGAACAACAGAATCTCAGCTGCAAAACGGCAGACTATGTAAAGTAACAGAGCAGGGCTGCTGAGTGCTGAGGCGCATAGTGTGTAAAAGTCACCAGTGCTTTGTTGACTCGGTAACTGCAGAGTTCCAGACTTCCTCTGGCACTAACCCCAGCACAGAAACTGTGCGCCGGGAGCTTCATGGAAAGGGCTTCTGCATCTGCATGCAAGCCTCACATCACCAAGCTCAATGCCAAGCGTCAGAGTGGGGTAAAGCACACTGCCACTGGACTCTGGAGCAGTGGAAATGTGTTCTGTAGAGTGAGGAATCATGCTTCTCTGTCTGACAGTCTGATGGACGCATCTGGGTTTGGCAGATGCCAGGAGAACGTTACCTACCTGATTGCATTGTGCCACCTGTAAAGTTTGGTGGAGGAGGGATAATGGTATGGGGTTGTTTTCCTGGGCTGGGCTGGGTTCCTTAGTTCCAGTCAAGGGAACTCTTAATGCTTCAGCACAGCAAGACATTTTGGACAATTCTATGTTTCCAGCTTCGTGGGAGCAGTTTGGGGAAGACCCTTTTCTATTCCAGCATGACTGTCCCCCAGTGCACAAAACAAGGTCCATAAAGACACAGTTGGGTGAATTTGGTGTGGAAGAACTTGACTGGCCCACACAGAACCTTGACCTGAACCCCACTGAACATCTTTGGGATGAAATAGAACAGAGATTGTGAGCCAGGCCTTCATGTCCAACATCAGTGCCTGACCTCACAAAGGCTCTTCTGGATGAAAGGGCAAAAATTCCAACAGACACACTCCCAAATCTTGTGGAAAGGCTTCTCAGAAGAGTGGCAGCTGTTATAGCTGCAAAGGGAGCAACCAACTCCATTTTGATGACAGTGGATTGTGTGTGCGTATGTGTAACACCACAGCCCAGGAAACATTATTTTGCATCACCATATGCAGTGTATGCAGCGTACTTAAAGTGCTTGGTGTGACAATGAAGCTATACTTGACCTGGCATCTGTAAAACATACAGTATATACAGCTATAGCACAACAACGATATAGATTACAGATGAAATGTGTGAATTGATATTGGTGATATTTCTTGTTTGACTCTAGGTCGTTCTAAAGGCTTCATACGTTTACATCCCTTGCCAGTCGTGCGTCTTGATGTTTTCTGCAGATCATGCATCTGTGGAGACGGATTTTCTGAGGGCTCCACCGCACATATGGGGGAGGGGGGTTTGTTTTCTAGTTTCACATAAACCCTTAATGTCTCCCAGTCAGCCAGAGTCTCATGGCAGAAGCTGGGGAAATCTCGTTTGAGGAGGATTCTAGCATCTAATTAATAGATAGATGATTGAGACGAGGCCAGCAGTGAGGAGGGGGTTAGCATTAAGGCTATGAGCTGAGAAGTCAGCTCAGTGAGACTGTTAGCTTAGCTTTAGCTCGAGGACATCCCCTAGAATTCTCCTATCTGATTCTACGGCCTGTCCAGTTGACAGTACTCTGGCCGGCATTGGCCTACAGCTCTCCATCAGACTCGGCACTCAAACCCGTGATAAATGGCAGTAAATCACCATTAGTTTCACAAAGGCCTCTGCCCACAACTGGAACCTATAGGCTAAACCATAGCATGGCATAGCGCGCTAACAGCCTCATAAACCACTTTAGGAGGGAACAGCTAACCTTAGAGGAATCACTGCAAATAAAACTGGAAAACGTGAGGTGCCGTTAAATATTCTTGTATTACAAAGTACACTATTACAAAGATAATTCCGTTTCACAGCTTTTGTGCTCTGAATGTAGTAAACATTTTTGTGTCACACTTGTCTTTGGTTCTCAACTTTGGACTGCTTCTACAGTTTAAGCGGAATGAACACAATTAATGTTGTAGGGCTGCCATCTGGCGTGACCCTCACGCTTTCAGACTCGTAAGGCAAATGTATATTATATTAAACATAGAATTAGTTACATCAAAAGCCTTGGGGTAGTTTGCAAACCCTACAGACTATTTACAAGGTAATAAAACTGTTACACACATTTAAATGTGTATGCAGACTTTTCTCAAATTGAAAATCTCACGCCAACCAGCTGACCGAAGTTGACAGCCCTGATATTGTAGTAGATATGGATCGGTCTGTTGTGTAATATATTCCACTACGATCTCAGCCTTATCCACTTAAACATCATGGCATAATTTTTTATTTGGAAAGTTTAATTAAAAGTACTTTCACAGTATTTGCATTCCACAGAATGCTCACAAAGGTATCAGTTCCAGTGTGTTCTATCAGTGTCACGTTTCGTCAAAGCATCTATAACAAGGAGGAATTCTCTCAGAAAATCCAAAAACGTGCTGCTCTTGTTCTACAGTCTTGGTCTTTTTTTATTTATGGATCCCACGGGAGGACATAGTCTAGGTACAGCGGAGGGGTTATATGGTCGAACGTTAAACACTAAAGCGATTTAAGTGATGGGGCATATTGTTCAAAGAGAAGGAACGAACATTTAATTATTACGACCCTGCAGGGTGAAGTCTCTGGGAATAAGTTTCTGAAATAGCCTAACTCTTGTAAAAAGTGACGTTTACAGAAGGGATTTGTTTTGTGGGTAGCAAGTATACAGCACTGCGTCGCGTGGTCGTGAGACATCGATATTCTAACAATCAGTCCTTCCCGTAGATCCATGAAATATATTCTTACTGTGGTATGAAACAAAGGAGAAAATAACTAGATTTTTCTGTGTGTTGGGGGAAGGGGAGATTAAAAACATGCGTCGGCGGCGCGTAGTAGCAGTCAAAACGCCGTGTAACCCTTAACCCACACTCATATACTGACCATTAACTCGCAGTTACTCCGCAGCGGCCATTTATTCCCCATCTGTAGCTCGCGAATCAATAAATAAACGAATCAATCGTAAAGATTTACATTTATTATTTATTACTCTAGTCCCAGCAACATTTATATTTTCAACCGAACTTGTCTTTAGGTTTTTATATTGACTACGATACATTTTAATGCATGAAACTGGCAATCGCGTTTTAGTGGTGGAGTGACGGAAATAATGTGCCAGTTATAGTGTTATGATTGCCAGATACTTTTGAGCCTAATTACGTAAGATCTTTATTTTATTTGTACATAGCCAACTTTAGTACATTTCCTCCATAATGCAGGTGAATGGCGCCGGCTGGATGTATACGTAATCTGAGTTTTATAACTCGATTTTGCTTTTTACGATCTTTACGATACCTTGTCCACCGACGGCATGTGTTATTGATGACAGGTAATACTTAGTAATTTAACAGAAGTCGTTAAGTTCTGCATTGGAAAATCGTTTCCCTCTGTTGTAACAGTTGATTTTAAAGAAAATGTTGGTGGAAAGTTTTTTCCAAAGAGATTAGCCTACTTAGTGGTTTTAACGGTATTATGTTCCTTTTTGCTTTATCGCTTCATTTCTTAATCACTTTTTAAAGTTGAGTAATATGTGGGTGGAGAGAGAAAAAATCCATTAAATTGACTTCTGTCAAAAAAGTGAAAACTCATTTCTTGGAATGTTAAGCTGGACAGATCTGAAAGTTTCACTCGGAGCTGTAGTGGTGGAGGAAAGATAAGCAGGGTTGGCTGTTTTAAGGCTGCTTTCCGATTTCAGCCCGAGCAGAGGATGCGGGGATATTTTACACTCACGCTCATTTTTTCTGTACGCAAGTGCTGCATACTGAAAACGAAGACTTGAGGATTAGTGAACGAAACCGCTCTAAGCACTAGTGAGAGCTTCTAGATATGCACAAGTATATATACGATCCCATACTTATTAGATAAGGAACGATTACAGACACAGATAACGGCACTCATAGTCTTTTTATTGTAGGTTTAAAAGCAAAATGGAGCGCCCGAGCTGCGTGTGTTCTAGTTTAGCGTCACGGTGACTTCAAACAGTCAATTTACAGGTATAATAGGGGAAAGTTACAACAGGGATGCAGTATAATAAAAACATAATAGGCAAAATGTGTAATGTAAAGATTTTACGGTTTTCTATAATCTACGTGATTTTGATGCCGAGCTGTATTAATGTGGCTGCTATCAGAATCTGGGATAAAATGGAGCGTGAGAGGTAAGTTTAAATTCCCAGCGTGATTTTGGTGAATTACGAATTACTCCATGTTTTGTGCGAATATTTTTATTATTTGGGGGAAAAAAAAACTCTAATTCAGAGAAGCTGAACATGACGAAATTAAGAAGCATGTATTTACCGCCTCATGTCCCTTCGAAGTGGAAAAGATACAACTTCGATTTTATTTACACGTTTATTGTACGAATATAGGCCT